GGATCACTTGTTGTTCCCTTGTCCCTGGGTTTGTTAACACTACTTTCTTTCCCCCACCTCCCCCTCTCCCATGCCCCCCCATCCCGTTGTTATCTCCTCCAGATTGACTGACTTGTTCTACTTCCATTTTCATTATTATTTGTATCTTTGTTCAACAAGTCTTTACTCAAGTGGGCGGTGAGTATTTTGTGTCTTAAAGTACGTTTTCCACCAGATTAAAAAAATAGCATTTTGTGCCTACTTTTCAATTAATTTTTAAAAATTTGAGTATTGGGTATTGTGATGTTTAGATTTTATGTCAACTTGAGCTACTGGTCATGGTCTAACCTCGCAACCAGGACAAAGCCTAATGAAGTCTCCTTGGGAACGTGGCCCTTTTTTTGGATGAGACACACTGAGAAGAACTGGTCCCTCTCTTTCCCTTCTTCAGCTTCCTGCTGACCCTGGAAGCTGTGGACCTTGCCATGTAACTGAGGACCTTGGATCCATGAGAATTTGTACCCAGCAGCCTGTGAACTCTAAGCTTCTTGCTTTGCTTTCCCGTTTCACCCACCAGCAGCTGTGCCAGTCTGAGGGCCTCCAGCTACACCTGACCCATGGACTTGAATTGGACTGGGCTGGGCTGCTTTCTTGATATAAAATTCCTTCTTGACTTAAAGTTCTAACATGTATATAAGTTTCCTGGTTTTGTTTCTCTAGGAAACTCAGTCTAATACAGTTATAAGGTTTATTATCTGTTGTACACTCAGCTATATAATCATGTAATTTCCTTGCTGGAAACAATAGGCTATTATATTAATACCCAATCCTTGCCATTGAGTCAATTGAGACCTATTAAGTCCATATTTAGGTTTCCAATGCAATACATCTTTATAGGAGCAGATAGCCTCATCTTTCTCCCACAAAGCTCTTAGTGAGTTTGAACCACCAACATTGTGTTTAGTAATATAATGCTAACTCAGCAGTTCTACCAGAACTCCTTATTATATTAACAAAGTTCACAGTATCTTTACATTGTTGTTTTGAATCCTACTTGTTTATGTTGGTATTGAAGATAATTATTTTAATATATTGATTATATCAATGTTATTAAAATGTACACTAAAGAAGAACTATTTCTAAGCCCTCCTTTTTTTCCTTCTTTTTTCATGCCTATCTATACGAGATAGGCAAGATAAACAATCCCGAGGAGAAAACAAGAGGGCTGATGGTTCCAGGGAGAACGTGAGAGAGAGAGAGAGAGAGACAGACAGACAGAGAGACAGAGAGAGGTGTGTGGGGAGCCAACAAACCCATGGGCAAAGGAACAAAAAGAAATCTAAAGTCGATGACAAGGAGGGTGTAGAATGCCTGGCGTGGTTTGATCAAGAGCAATGTAGCTGAGAAGAATTACTGAGAGCCAAATGAAGGTTGAACATGATAGTAAGACAGGAGGAAAGAAAAAGGAAATAGGAACTAGAGGAAAGAAC